GATTTTTTACCCCGAAGAGTTTATTTATTTTAGGGTTTCATTAAATCAGTTGTCTCCAACTTTTAAGCCTAAGGAATGTATTTTACACAAAGTCGCTCTAAAGGGAATTAATAAAAATTAAATGAATCGGTTTTTAACTGACACACCATGAATCAGAAACAAATTGACAATTACTAAAAGTTACTTGCACTGAGAAATGATATGTAATAAGCAAAAATGTTAAATATCAGTAAATATTCTAACAAAATAATAAATTATTTCACTGTAGATAAAAAAAGGAGGTTATACATTTATAATGATCTCAAGTTACTGCGATCAGGTTAAGACCTTGTGGCAGGCCGGATGTAACGCACAGACCGTAGTTTAGGGATCTTTGTGCCAAATTGTTTCAGCAAATGAAAGCTTACTAATTTGATATGTATTTGACCAATAAATTCATTATGGCCATGATGATTGGAATTACTTGCTCTTCTTTCAAGTACAAACTCCAGGTAATACACCTTCGGGTGAAGGCTTGGATGATTATCTGGGGCTTGAAGCGTCCTCAAAAGGAGAGGTGACGAGGGAGACTGAACGATTTTTGTCCCTAGTACGTTGGGATACTTATTCATTTTAAACGCGACCTTGTGTCCCATTCCACTCGATTAAGCGCGACCTTCTTTTTGTTTTTTTTATCAGTTGTTTTATAACCTATACTCCTGGGGATAAACTACATTCAGCAACAAGACCTCTGATCGGGACACTGAAGGTTTTGGGGAACGTGGAACCAACTCTTAATTGGTGTTGTTCTCAGGTCCCTCTGACCCGGGGTGGTAGCACCTGTTTGGGTTCTAGCTATAGGCAAATAGTGAACACTCCCCCACAAACAAAAACAGAACACATGAAAGTATAAAAATATATGTTTATAGCAAAATGACCAACAATACATTTTATAGCAAAATGACCAACAATACATTTTATTTGTAGTTGAAGGCGTGCGGCTGCGTTCAAAATATTTAGATTTCAGCATTAAATAACCCATAGAGGTGTTGATATACCGCTAAAGAAAATCAACCAAACCATACGTAACCTACACTTTTCAATTTCAATAGAAAGAATAGTTATTTCAGATTTATACTAAATTACTAAATACGAATTGTGCTAAAGTATTAAACTGCTACGTAATATCAATCCTCCTATATGACAGTGAATGCTGAACAATTTCCTCCCGAATGAAAAGGCAACTTGAGACAACGGAGATGTGGTTTTATAGACAGATGCTAAAACACTATGGACAGAGCATTGCTAAAAGGGAAGTTCTAGGGAAAATGGAAACAAAAAAGAATACTTATACCTAGAATCAGAAAGAGAAAGTTGAAATTTCTTGGAAGAATAATGAGGAAGGAAGACTTGGAAAATTTGATATTCCCAGGGCATACCGAAGGCAAGAGGTACATAATCTACCTAACGAGTTTGTATAAATAGATAGCAGATATAGATATATATATATATATATATATATATATATATATATATATATATATATATATATATATATATAATGTATTACAGTGTAAGCAGATCACAGGCTGAAGACAGAAGAAAACGAAAACAAAAATTACGAGGATCTCACCCGAGAGATAAGGAAGCTGTAGTACATAATAGTTGAGATTGTTCTTATTAGTTGGAACCATGGCAAGAACAGGGGAGATTGGAGGAATTGAATAGTCGAAGAATGTTTGACATTGTGCACACTATGGCACGACTGAGATCTTCAAAATTGAAGATTTGAAAAGATTTATTGTTATTTAATTCTTAGTAGTATAATAATAATAATAATAATAATAATAATAATAATAATAATAATAATAACAACAACAACAACAACAACAACAATAACAATAATAATAATAATAACAATAATAATAGCAGCAGCTGTTAGTTTCTAAGTAAATCCGTCTGCAATGGTAGTTAGCTCGCTCCGTAAAACTTACTTTCGACTAACAAGTGTGGTGTAGTAATGTCTCAATATTCTACAGGGAGTTTACAGGTAACAAATTAAAAAGAAGAAAGATTAACACAAGCAAAGAGCTCTTAAATTGGGGCTTCATTTTCATCGCTAAAAATGAATTTTGCCCACGCTTTTCAAATATAACATTTCTATACATTTTCACATTTTCTATTGCGTATATATAATTCCTACTTATTGCATACTATTTGACATACTATAACTCTCTTTTGTCAGTAATGCTTAGATTACTTTTTGACCACTGACAATTTCCAATACGTGTAATAGCTTTTTTTTCTGTCAGAAATATATATTTACTAATCATTCACATTCCTTCTCTATATTGATTTTCAATGTACAACATCGATAACCGTGAACGGTTAACCATGATCAAATTTGATTTTTTAAATCATTACTTTGCTTGTAAAGATATGAATTCTTCTCCCTACATAACATTAATAACAGAGAAGACTGTGCTTTAGCTTTGGTTAGTAACCAGTTTAAGAGATAACAATTCTGAACACTAAATGAGTTGAAGCTACTTGCTATGGAAGCGCCTATACTCCACTATTAACATGTGTACATAATGTTACTAGGGTAACATTACTATAATGATAATAACTTACTATGTGTATTTCAAAGAAGAATTTGCAATGTTATCGGCCTTGATCTGGCATCTCAGTCTCAATCAATTTCATAACATAGTTTGCCTTTTCTATAAATATTTTCATAGTAATTGTTCTGATGAGCTTTTCTCTTTAATACCTCGACCATACCGATTTAAGCGTAGTACTTGATTGGTATCTAAGTCTCATAGTTTCACTGTTGAAATAAGTAGATGTAACCGGAAGTTCTATTCTAATAGTTTCTTTCCTCGCACTATCTTCCGGCTTTTTGTTTTTGCCAACTACGATCTATGAAGAATTTAATTTCATTCATTATCTTTGCGCATGAAGACCAATATTCACTAACAGATGGAAAACGGAAACAATGTCCTCTTTTACATGCCAAAAATATGAGTATTTTGTATAGTTTTGCTAGCAGAACATAAATAAGCACTGAATGATTAACTTTGAATAAATTCCATGATAACTTGGCTTCGCAAACGAAGATTTAGTAGAGTCTTCCACGTCTATTGTAGGTTTTAAGTTAAGTGTCATACACGATTGGGCGATCATGTTTTTGTTTTTTTTCGATTCCTGACTGACACTGTTTAGCGGGAAAGAGATGGATTCATACCCTTTTCAAGGGTAATGCACGTAAGTGAATGTAACGAACCCGACTGGAATTTGAACTCGGTTCTCCGATTTCTCACACCGTGCCGATATCCATTACACCGCACCGCACATCGTTGTAGGCATACAGAAGTTTAATGTGACCCCCCCACGTGGCGGGGGAGACGTTTTTTCTAAATCGACTATAGGTGAGGGTATGGCATTCAGCTTTGCGAAGCTGACATTTTTATTCCGTTCATTTTTTTTAGCGTCTTTATTCTGCAAGGGGGTGTGGATTGCCAGAGAGGTCTTTCACCCCCCATATCACCCTGTTGGCTGTTTCTGTTTCCCAATGATGGCGGCTGAGACCATAGGAGATGAGGATTCTTTTGAAGGAGTCCTTACACACGATATCGCACGCTAAATGTACGCAGGAAGTGTTGGCATCTGCTTACTTTGTATAGACGCCTGTCGTAATTACTGTGTATCGATGCAATGATTAGAATTCGTTAAATTGCTCATGTATTTATTTGAAAAACTACCTGTGATATTAAAATGTATACCAACAGTTACGTTCACGATAATGTTGAATGTAGTAAGAAATATTTAAGAAAAACTTCGCACTAACAATAAGAAAGGAATTAAGAAGCGGTAAAATCAGTGTCTAGTGATAAGAAAAGACGAAACTGTGTTAATGGATATTGTTGTTCATTTGGTGTTAAAATACAATTCTTATTCTTGCTTCATTTGTTTCGCCTACCAACAGAATTTGTCGTGTTTCTCGAAGCACTAGACTAAATGAGAGTTATATGTATTTGTTTAATAACTACTTCCTGTCATATTACATAAAACAACTAATAAATATATATTTTTTTTTATATTGCTTCAGGAATCGCCGGCTAGAGTTGAGAAGTCGATACCACACCACTGCAATCGATATCAACGACATTATGGCTGCTACAACGACCACCGGAAACAAACTTGCACAGGAAATCCACGACGAATTCCTAACCTGCAAAATCTGTCTGGAAGGCTTTAAAAACCCGAAATGCTTAGATTGCTTGCATACGTTCTGTGAGCAATGCATCGAAAACCATGTTATGTCCGAATGCACCTACAAAAAATACAGTGACTATCGTGAGTTCACGTGTCCCCTGTGCCGGAAGCGAACGAATCTGCCGATAGGCGGCGTCAAGAAACTTCCGGATAACTTTTTGGTATCAAGCCTCGGAGAGGTAGTAGCGCGGCAAAGGCCCTCAAAGTTCCCCTTTTGCGACATTTGCAAAATGGTAAACAGGAAGCATAGAGAAGCTTCATCAAAATGCCTTGACTGCAACAAACTGCTATGCAAGCCTTGCGTTGATCTGCACAAGGAGACCAAAGTAACTAAATTCCATAGTCTTTTCGATGTTGAAATTGAGAAAGATATTGAATGTAAAGAGCACAAGGATGAAGTTGTGAGATTCTACTGTGAACCCTGCCAGGCCTGCATTTGTGTGTTGTGTACATTCAACGAACACAAAGATCACGAAATAACCAATTTTGCTGACGCAGTGACAAAGTATAAAGACAGTATACAGCGTCTGTTGCAATCATGCAAAGATCGTATTAATATATACGATACTCAGATAGAAACACTGGCTAGATGTGACGCGTTGATTAAAGAAGCTGAACAGAGAGTACATGACGTCGCAATTGCGTTCATTGCTGAAATACGAACGAAAGAGAAGAATCTAATTGAAGAACTGCATTCGATGTACGGCTTGGAGGTTATGGAGTATATTAATCGCAAAGGCGAGATGCAATCGAACTTGGAGAGTTTAAAAAGTACATGTAGCTTGACGGAATTGGTTCTGCAAGGGAAGGACATTGAATTGTTGCTTCTGAAAAACCAGGTCCAGGAGAAGCTGTCCTGTTTATCCGAAATGGAACTGAAAGACCTTCCGACCTCGGTGTGCAAGCAGATTTTGTTCAGTCCAGGTAGCATTGAACTCGGCACGCTCGAGGACCCAGACCGACCCAAGCAGAAAATCTCCAACCAGCCCCGACGCTCCTTGTCAGCGGCCGACTATTGGAGAGAGAAAACCCCACCCAAACCTATCCCAACTTCAGCTGTCGGGATACAAACAGAACAGGAGGATAATAGTCACAAGTTTACTAATACTGGCGTGCAGACTATAGCTGAAGATGCCCCTTACTTGCAGGATAATAATATTGAAATTACTAATGCTGTCGACGATAAATCTATTTCTACCGATAAAGTGGAGACAGAGGAGAAGGCCGTGAACACTCGCTCTCGTAGCCTACAGAGCCTCACCTATCAGCTGCAGCGAAACTCAAAAGAAGGGTCCCCGGAAAATAATAACGGCGACACAACGACACCCCAGACCCCTCCTGAGCCGACATCGTCACCTGTCATCAACCGTCGTCATCACCGCCGCCGAAGAGAGCGACCCAGGGCTGTGGAGGTGGGAGTTAGACCGACGACATATTCCACAGCTTGCGTAATTTCACCGGTAGGGGGCGGTCCGGTTCTTACCTACAGCAGCAGTATTGATGAATCCTTTCATAGTGCTGATAGCGATTAAATGGTTCGAAAATGATAAAGATTTCATATGTACATCTCTCTTTATATATATATTTTCATCACTAGAGATAATTTATGTTTTCTTATATCGAGTGATGACAATAATTAACTTAATTATTAGTTCAATAACTTCTAATTAAAAACTTAAACTAGAAAAAAGATAGGTATTTTAAAAAAAAAATAGTATTATAATTAAGAATATATTTATTATATTGTATAAATAATTACCCTCGTTGATCTGGATATTTCTTTTGGTTTTATGCTTAATGGAAAATGTCGGTTCTATTTCTGAGAATGAACGAAAAGACGCAGCGTGACCGATATATTTAGTCCTCTGTCGTTTTAGAATACGCACGTTGTGATTGGTTGGTAGCAGGTTCTTCAAAGTGAACGCCGCTGCTGACCGACACGCCTTCATAGCATAAAATTAATATTTAATCTTCAATACAAAATTCAATTGACGAGAGAATTTTCGTTTACTTTTCAACAATTTCAACAAGATTTTATTAACAATATTATTTTTTATTTTGATTTATAAATTTCAATACTCTTTCTTACATGACCTTAAAAAGAGATTAAAACAGTCAAATTTGAGAACTTATTCTTTTACGACACTAAAAAGAGATTAGAATTGTTAAGCAGTTAAATTTCAGTACTTTTTCTAAAAACTGATGAAAAAAGTTAAACTTGATAACTCTGTCTTATACAACACTACAAATAGATTAAAAGTGGTATTTAAAACAGTTAAATATCTTTTTTAAAAATTATAAAAGTAATTTTAAGATATGATGAGGAATTCGATAAAAATACAATATGAATATAATTTTAAAATAAACTAAAATGTATAAAAAAAAAAAAAGCTAAGCTTTTATTTCAAGATCTTTTCGAGTCCTTTCAAAACTGCCCCCCACATCCCTACTAACGTTTTAATCTACCAATTAAGATTATTACCTGTTCCTTCAAAAATGCGTTTTATAAATTGTTGCGAGAAATCTTTTTGGCACTTAAAAAATATATATATATTTTTGCAACTTTAGAAAAACAAATATCTTTCGTACATCAATGTTTTTTATCAATAATTTTTTACTTATAGATTTCTAAATTTTCAAAATATATATTTTGCAGATTTCAAAAATATAAAATTTGAATAAGTGATTCTCTTTTGGTTTTTATAATTCATAAAGAATTTGTTTTTTATAATTCATAAAAAACTAATAAAAAAAAAAAATTGCCGACCAATATAAATTTCTGCTTTCAATTTATAAAATCTAAAAACAAAAAAAATGACTTACTGAAAAAAAAAAAAAAGATCTGTGAATGAATCAAATAAAATAAATAAAACATAAAAAAGAATTGAAGGCCATAACAGCCTTTCGAAAATTATTAAAATTTATTAATCCTAAAATATTTAAAGAATTAAAATTTTTATTTATTTATGGTAGTCGCCAGTAGTTCGAATACGATGCATATGGACATGCATGTGATTTCTGATACAATAACAATAACATTGTTATAACGATGTTAAATAATGTTATTATGATAACAATAACATTATTTACTATATTTCTCTAAATGCATTCAGAAAAATTTAATTTCTTTTTTTTTTTAAATAATCGATTTGATTTGATTTTTAGCTAATTAGTAAAAGATTGTTATAGATAATAATTTAAATCGATTTACTCATTTCTTTAGAAAATGTTTAAGGTAAAAAATATCCGTTTTTAGCAGTTTTAAAGTTCTTCTTGAATTATTACTTTGAATTGTCACGCGAATCTTTGTTGCTTTTGTCGTAGCATTTCAATGGCTATATTCTCTGGCCTACTTCAGGTTTCCTTCACATTAAGTCTAGTTAGTAACTTCTGCTAGCTTGAGTACAAAGCATATTTCTCCAATTGATCAGCTCCGACGTTGAAACGGGATCCGAGTTAACTTGACCGTCGAAAAGAACTCTTTATTCGGGGTGGAAATATTCTTTTCACTCCTTGCTTTTTTTCTTTCTTTTTTTTTTTAGACATTAGGCTTTTCTTTTCCTTCTGAATGAATACTGCACCTTTTCTTTCAATTTTTATCTATGACGTCACTCTGCTTCATTGACAGAGCACACATATTGTCAATCTTAAGGACGGAATTTGTAACTTTTCCGTCATTACATGTCCAGAAAGGACATCGAATAGAAACGGTGGAGGAGTAGATATATTTTTTTTTGTCAATAGGAGTAGATAGGTTGGCCTATCATTCGGTTCACACTCTTCCGCGGTCTTTTAAACAGGAGTAGAGGTTTATCCTTTGTTTTCTGTTTAAGATTGAGTTTTCGGTTCCTTCTAAAGTCTACTTCAGCTCTATATTCCTAATGTTTGTCCTTTCCTGCGCTAATATAACTCCACGCAATAACCCTCTACCTTGAGTGGCTCTTAGGCCTTGTATTGAGTGAATATTAGCAAAAAAAATAAATAAATAAAATAAAATAAAAAGAAGCAGTAGAATCTATTAAAGTTCCGTTCCGTTTAAATTTCTCTTAAGTTGTCGAATGCAACAATATCCTGTGGAAGATTATGGAGTAGAACAGTCGAAACGTTGTGATAAAAGCAACAAAGATACGGACACTAGCTCGGAAGGATTATTTAATAGAACTGAATAGGACTAAAGTAAAGAATGTAATTTGAAAGGTACAAATAATGAAACTATATTCTTGGATTTAAATAGATAAAATGAGACTATTTTTCAAGGTTGAGCTAAAACGGAAAAAAACTGATCCAATTAAACGGCCGCCTCATTTAAGCGAAGCAACATATAAACAAATTAATTTGTGTTTTTTCAATTTTAGTCGAACTTTTACGAAACTCGAGAAAATAAACCATTTTTCCGTTTAAGTCATAAAAGAAAATATTATTCATAAAATCAAAAGAATTTTTAGAAAAATCTTTTAATAATGTAATGAATTATTGTAACCCTTAAAGATTTAGTGACACTGGAAGAATTTAAATTTACTTTGTTTCACAACCCATATCTTCCTGATGTCAGTTCAAACTGACATATTCCTTTTTCTATCTAAGGTATAATTTTAAAGTATAATTTTGGAAAGTGAAAATATGCTGGGAAAATTCCAAGTATTCATGCGAAATCAAGAAATGTTCACAATATATGAAAAGGAAAAGATATCCGTTTAAACTGACGTCTGGAAGATATGAGTTTAAACTGAATGTCATTCAAATCATTACAGATAACAGACTGGTTTTATTACCTGAATAAAATAGCGTCACAATCCTTCTATATATTTCATTGCTTCCTGATTAGTAATATTGTAAAGGGTTTAGAATTTTTGCGTGCACTAAATGACTATGAAACAGATAAACATCAGAACTAAAGCTGACTATGTGATGAATGCTTCAGCAATGACTTTGGCCAAATAAACGTCTTGGTGGCCCAAATAAATGATCGAAATTATTACAAACCAAATCAATTGGAATTTTTCAACATTTGACACAAGTAAACGGATACATAGTAAGTTTTTTTTCCCTATTTTACGTATGAATTTTAGATTTAGTGCATCGTTTAGATAAAAATTATAAGAAAATACTTTTATATTACACATCTCCCGCCCCGGTTTTTGAGGCCCAGGATATAATCCCTAAAGAAGGAGCCTGTGCAAGAAGTAACATGAAAGGTAGGATTATAGTTACATCAGATTTGCATTTTTTTTCTGGCTTTCACCTATCTGCTCTTCTTCCCTTCCTCATTTTCTCCTTCTTCTCTCTCTCACACACACACACACACACACACACACACACATATGATAAAATAGTTTTAAGGTTTGCTATTATTATGGGTTAAAGTGTTCAATATCAGGGATAGAGCGTATGTAAATATAAAAGTGATGATTGTTGAAGTCAACACCCAGAGACAACAGTCTGTTACATATGCCTTAAACACAATCGTCAGGTCTGCGTTTAAGTGTGAAACATACTGACTTCAATCTTGTATATGTATATATATATATATATATATATATACGATACGATGAGAACGAAAGTAATATATAAATTCCAACGTTCACAGCATTAATCCAAAAGAGGGCTCGATATCGATAGTAGAATGATTATTATTTATTTATTTATTTATTATAATTTTATCATATAGACAAAATCATTTTACTCACGCGTCGAAGTGCAGTTGAAATGCACTGAAACCAAGTTGCATCTTTGTAGTGAGTAAAATGGTCTTGTCTATATGATAAAATTATAATAAATAAATAAATATATATATGTGTGTGTGTGTGTGTGTGTGTGTGTGTGTGTGTGTGTGTGTGTGTGTGTGTGATTATTTAGGTGAGCATTAGCATAGCAACATACAGTTTTCTGCTTCTGGATTAAGTAAAGTAAGTTTTTTTCTCCTCACTGATTTTCTTTGAATTTTCCTCATCGTTGAAATAGTTTATAGATTTTGATATATCAAGAAAAACAAAAAGAAAAAAAAACGTTGGCTGTATTGTTTAGTTAACTAGAAAAGAGTTACTGTGATCGATGCAATCACTTCGGAGGAGATAGCCTCGCCTATCGTCCGGTTCACACTCCTCCACGGTCTTTTAAATAAGTGTAGGGACTTATTCCTTGTTTACTGTTTAGGATTGGCTTTTTTGGAGTTCTTTCTAAAGTCTACTTTTGCTCTATACTCCTAACGCTTGTCCTTTCCTACGCTAATCATACAATAACCCTCTCTACCTTGAGTGGCTCTTGGGCCTTGTATTGAGTGAATATCCGTAATAAAAAAATCGTCTACCGTTGACAAAATCTAAATTTAAATTGATAAATACGTGACATTGCAGAAAAGGTTTTATTATATTTTTTTTTCATGACGCTCTTTGAATATACAGATGCGATGGATAAATTGTCGTTTAAATTACGCAAAAATGAAAATAACACTGACATCTCATTTTAACAGATATATACCAAAATTACGCAAAAATATCTTGAAATACTAAAGACTAAGTTTATTCAATAAAGT